AATAATTTCAAAAATTGTAAAAATAAGTACTAATATTTATGTTTCACCTTTTTTAATTGAATTAATAAAATAAAATAATACAGATGTAAATAGTTTTGACATGACCCATAACATAACTCTTGTACAACTCTTGAAAGTCGTTAGTGACTTTCACCTGGTCTCTTTTGAAAACTTTCATGAAATGTTCCTGTGGAGAGTGTATTTTATTATTATTTTTTTGCTTTTAATTTGCAGTGAATGCTTATTTCAGCCAGTATAATCATTTTCTTTCTTTTTCAGAATCCAGCAGGTGCCAATTATCACTGTCTGGCACCTTTTTGTTCCCATGTTTCGCTTCAGAAAAGCTAAACAGTCGGAGGTGATCTAAAAACTGACCTCAGCGTTCATCAAAGTTTATCTCCATGGAAACAATCAAAGTCCAGGGTAAAAATTTTTATAGAAACTATAACTAATGACTCTTTTAATACAAAGTTGCACTAAAAGTTCATTAAAAGTGTAAACTTTGGATTATTTGGCCAATAATGACCTTTTTAATGCAAAGTTTTATTAAAATGTGCACTAAAAGTCCATTAAAAGTGTCAACTTTGCATTAAAAGTGTCATTATTCACCGAATGACATTTCATGACAACAGCCATAGACTCCTTCATGTTCATGACAGGTGCTGTGTCATGTGTATGTCGGTGTTATGTAAAACCCTTCATATAAAATGCTACCGTTTGTCTTTGTTCAGTCTGAATGCTTCACATGTTTGCAGAGACTCAGATGTTTATCTGCAGTTTTCATGTGAGTCAGACTGTCTGTGTGTGCATTAGCCTGCTTATGACAGCAGCATTCTCTGTTTGGGTTGTGTAATGGGCAAAATCAGAAAAAGGTGGTTTGATGTTACGCATACATATTTGAAGCTATATTTTGCTTTCTTCTCTGTGTGCAGCTTTGTTATCTTCAGGAGGATTCTGCTGGCAAACGCTCAGGCCAAATAAAATCTATGAGAAGAGTCGCAGCTGCAGGAGGCGTGTTTTGAAAGCCGATAACAAAAGCTCTTTATCTTTAGTTTTTATAGAAAGAATTCATTTTCAGATTTGTTCCTTCTAAAGTTTAGATCAGTGGAACAAAGTATAAATTTGTCTCATGCATGAGCACTGAATGTGAATGTGGTGGTAAAGGTGTGAAATTTGATCCATGGATGGCTGCACATGGTATTTGACAGCAGTCAGACATACCAGTTCCTCCTCATTATCCTCATGTTTAAACCCCAATCATTTCTGTACTTTTCCATCCTGCTGTCTTCACAGGATAATAAAGCTTTGTTCATTTTAACTCAGATTTTCTGCTCTCTCAAATCTAAATGAATTACACGTCCAGCTGAAGTCGAGAGTGTTTAATGCCAGGTGTCACATGGTTAGAGTCACAGTTAATCATTACCACACTTTCCTATTTATAGCCTCTATTGTTCAAAGCTGTAAGGCAAAAAAGGTCATTATAACCTTTATTATAATAAAGTAAAACTGGAGCAGGCTTTCAAAGTATCATCATTTTGGTTATGTAAGTTACCATTCAGTGAATGTTTTGGTTTTTCTTTTTTCTTGGTTTAAATGGAAACTTTTGACTGTTTAAACAAATTTATTGTTGCATCTATAAGAATAAGCAAGCATTTCTTAGTCACGATTTTGTTTCTTAAAGAAAACCATTTATGGTTGACTCCTAGTTGCATCTGTGCTAAAAGGTGTAACTTTATTCATCAACAAAAAGATTTTTTCTTGAAGACAGACTTTCCTGAAATTTTTCCCAGAGCTCTGAGAAAATTTGACACACATTTGCCTTCAGTCAAATGTGTGATTTCCACACAGTTATCTCCACAGGAAGCAACATCAATAAACGTCAGATAACAATGAGCTCCTTTGGTTAAAGAAACCTCGTTACAAGTCCAATAAGATAGTTGAGGAGACAGTTTCTTAACTTTTTTAATGGAAAAACACCGAGCCACTGAATCAATGTTTGGAAAATTATCTTCCTGAAGTTTTGTGTACAATTTGAGTAAAATGTGTTTGTATAAAATCGGTGTTTTACAGTTAATTAAACAAATGTACTTTTTGACATTCATTATTTTAATGGACCAGACTGTTAGTAAATCTGATTTGCTGCATGTGTCACCCCAGGGATTCTTGCTTATCTTCACAGGAAGACTTTGCGATAAATAAAATCAAATTAAAATTTCTATGGCTTTATAAGTTATAGTAAGCAAGGTTTATAGTTGACGCTAGAAGTTGGTGGATCAGTCCAAAAATGTTGTTATTGATACCAAGTCTGTATTGGATCGATAATAGCATGGTAAGATCAATACTTTCAGATTTCTTCTTGAAAAAGTGTTGTGTTTTTCTCAATTTATTAGACTTAGATTTCTTTAACCTGGTAAAGTCTGAATTATTTGTATTCTAAGAGTCTGTTCATGATTTTTACCATCACTGTGAATTGATTTTAGTTTCAGTGGAAATATTTTTCCGATTTTTGTGTGTTTTTGTCAGAGAAGCATCCGGCTTGTCAGGAGGTCATCTGGACATTGGTGTGTTTCCACGAATCTCCAAGCAGCCAAAACACAACCTTTTCTGACCAGGTTGTGAGTGAAAACTGATCTATGCTTTTTGGAAACACACACAAGATGTAAGTCAACATATAGAAGTGCAGCCGCTGTGTTAGTAAACTAAATAAACTTTCCAGCAATAAACAAGAAGAAAACGTATCATCAACACAAAGGTCTTACCTGCAGCGCAGCATGAATCCAAATTCCACTGAATAAAAAAATACATGGACACAGAGACATTTTTTAAGTTTTTGAATATTAAATGTTTCTTCATTTTAAGTTAAATTGTTGTTTGAAATGCTCAACTGCACTGCAAAAACATAAAACCTCCCCTAATGTTTTTGGTCTTTCGTAGTTTATAGTGCAAATATCTGAGAACTGTGAAAATAAGACAAAACTAACTTTTCAGTAAGATATAGAAGCTTGTTTTAAGTTTATAAATCCTTAATATTGATGAAAAAGTTTTAGTTTCACTGGCTGATTTCATTTACAACATGGGAATAACGTCTTATTTGAAATAATCTGCAGTGGAACCAGTTCTTTTTCATCAACATTAAGAAATTATCTACTTAACACAAGCTGCTGTCTTGTTGAAAAGGTATTTGTAAATTAATTTTATCTTAATTCAAGTGTACTAAAATGTTTGCACTAGAAACTAGATCAAAAATACTTGGTAGGATTTTGTGTTTTTGCAGTGTATAGTGGAAATTCTTATTTTTGTAGATTTAAACTTTTATTAAAAAATACAGGAAAAGGATTTCTGTGACTTTAAAATGACTGATGAAATAAATTGTGGCTTGACACCTCTGTAGAAGTGTTATATACAAGAATATAGTTGTTATGTTCTCTCAGCTTCCTCTTGAAGACACCCTACTGATTTTATGGGCTTTAAGTGAGCTAACTTTGTGAGCAGTAGTGGACTAACACCGGAAGACAACATGGCTCCCTAAGTCCACAGTGACTGAGGCACAATCATCTCGGACCACCCAGATGATCAGATATATTTATAAATATCAAATAAATTGTGCTTTAATTAAACTCATCACTTTGCCGGGCGTTTGCAGATGCAACTCAGTATTTCAGTTATACTTCCTCTTTAATGAAATGACAAATTTCTATAGATGAATGCAAAATCACAATGACTGTGCATTATGTTCTCCAGTTATTGTTGCAGTCAGAAATGGTCAGAAGTCAGAAATAGTCAGAAATAGCCTACAGATATGAAGTATTTGTCTTTTTAATGTGTGTTTTTATGAAAGGTGATCTTGCTGATTTCGCCACAAGTCTTCTTAGTGAAAGACAAAGCAGCTAAGAGATTGTCAGTCAGCAGGAGAGCATGTAAAGCAATCAAAATTTAACCTGAGCCGACCAACCCAGCCGACTCTGTAGTTTTCCACTCACGTGCATGTTGGGGCACAATTATGGCCAGCGGGGGTTCAAAGACAACTGTGAGCAGCACGCACGCACACACACACACACGCACGCACATGCACACACAGATGCACGCACACACACACACACACACACACACACACAGATGCACGCACGCACACACACACACAGATGCACACACACACGCACGCACACACACAGATGCACGCACGCACACGCACGCACACACACAGATGCACGCACGCACACGCACGCACACACACACCCAGAGATACAGTAAGTAATGAATGTTTTACTGTTTGCAACTTAACACAAACATCCTCCTTTAAGTGAAAACTTATCTGTGTATATTGCAATGTGCATTTAGTGTGTGTTATTTGAATGCAGCCATAATATGTTTGGACAAAACCTGTCTACACACATTCTTGTAGAAATAAGAGAAGGAGTGCTGTAGATAAGAAAGGAGGCATCTGGTGGATTTCAACATATTAATTTAGCTATATTTTGTAAATTACTTTACACACTTCATCCTTTTTTGACATGAACACATTTCAGAAACAATAGACTCAACACAGCCTCAGTTATTACAGCTAGAAACTAATGATCAGGCCTGAAATCTGGGTAGTGATGGGCTCATCTGAACCTTCAGAGCCACATAAAGAAAGTTACAGAGTCAGGCTTTTGTCATCTGAAGAACATTGCAGGATTAAAAGACTAATGTCCCAGCAAAATCTGGAGAAACTCATCCATTTGCTTTGCAAAATGATCCAGAACGCTGCTGCTTGTGTTCTCACTGAAACCAGGAAGATAGAGCTCATCACCCCAGTTCTAAAGTCCTTTCACTGGCCCAAAGCTCAGAGAATAGACTTTAAAATACTATTGTTACTCAACGGCTTGTTACTTATCTTATTAAAGATCTGCTGCTTTCATGTCAGCCTTGTCAGACCACTCAGGCCCTCTGGTTCTGGTTCTGGTCTGCATCCCCAAAACCAACAAGCAACCTGCAAAACACTTAAATCAAGACAGAAAACCCATTTGTTTAGAGAAGTATCTGATTATTAACTGTAACATCATAAAGGGTAGTCTATTATTAGCCTGTCGTTGTTTCCCCTTGTTATCGCAATGCAAAGTTTTTTGCTTGTTTTTTTAAATTCCTTCAAATTGTATAAAAACTTTTTTTTTTGCTGAAAATGTACTATGCAAATAAAAATGCCTGCAAGAACTAAGTAGTTGTTTCAGAACCAAATTATTTCATTGTTTAAATATTATTGAAAAGTTAATTCATTTTAGTGATTCAATTTAAATAGTACAGATTCACAGAGAAATATCAAGTACTTTTCAAGTCTTTATATTTTGTCAATTTTGTTAATTTCGGTTTACAGGAAATAAAACCAAAAATGTTAAATGCTACATTAGACCACCAAAAAAATATTTTAACAAAGAAATATCAGCTGACTGAAAACTATTTCCATGTAGTATACAGTGTATTCACACAATGCTTGTTCTGGGCTCCATTTTGTGCAAAATACTGAACATGTGGCATGCAGAGTAAGCTGTGGCTTGACACCTCTGCAGAAGTAGAGGAATATAGTTGGTTCTTGTATCTCTCAGCTTCCTCTTGAAGACACCCTACTGATTTTATGGGCTTTAAGTGAGCTAACTTTGTGAGCAATAGTGGACTAACACCGGAAGACAACATGGCTCCCTAAGTCCACAGTGACTGAGGCACAATCATCTCGGACCATCCAGATGATCAGATATATTTCTAAATAACAAATAAATTGTGCTTTAATTAAGAATTTTTGTAAGATGCTTCAGCTATTAGCTGCGTTTCGTCTTCTTCGTCTTTTCCGCCAGTAGTATGGTAACATCTGGTTGTTGATCACATGACTTGTGTGACGAGAAGAAGGGTTTCCGTTGCAGTTTTGCGAGATACAGCTGAAAAACCAGATCGTCCTAGCCCCAAAACTTTCTCGAAAAACGTGAGTCTTTCCCTTTCTTGAAATCGGCATATTTCCATAAATCAAGTTTATTTTCATAATTCCAATTTGCACAATTAATGAAAAGGCAGCCAATGTCTGTGATTCAAACAATGCTATAGCTTTAGCAGTGTAGCCGTTGAAGTTCAGTTAGCTATTAGCAACATTAGCTAATGAGCATCTAATATCAGTTCCAGCAGGGAAAGACATTCCCAACTCTTTTAAATCCACTCTATGAAACTGCAGAAAATGAAGGCCGTATAATCAAAGCTAGAAAGAAAGATCATAAATATATTATATTACATTATATATTAAAAGTATCATTTGAAAATAAACACCAATAAGTAGATATTAAACATACGTTTCATTAA